GGTGGTACTTAAAAGTTAAAAATTCCTGATTTTTAGTATCTTTTTGAAACCGTTTGGGGCACCAAGGGTAGTCCACGTGTTTTTAGGGTTACCCTTTTTTAAATTACAGACATGTTTCAGATTATTCAAAAACTTTAGCTGTATTTATTTGTAAAATTGCCCCGGGGAAAAAGATAAAAACCCAAAAAAGAATCGATCTTTTTGGACTATTTTTAAAAATCAGTGGGCCACTGCACGGGGGCCAAAGAAATTTCCTTCCCAACCCAAAGGTGCAGTTAAAGGGGGATTTTTTAATTTGGGACAAAGGGCCATGCAGGGATGGCGTTTCCCTAATCTCCGACCCCTTAATCCCCGGATTTGTGGGTCTTGGCCCCAAAGTACAGACAGCCCGGGCGAATTCTTTTTAAAAGTAAATATCGATTATTGTCAAATTTTAAATCCTCATTCGGAAAAAGGGTTTAAATTAAATTAAAATTTTATTCAACTAACCAAAGTGAAAACATACAGAAAACCAAATCCTTTCATTATATTTTGGGATACTGTGTATTTGAATTTTTTTATACGTTTATTTTTAAAAATCCCGTAAAACATTTTTTTAAAGGTTTTTTTTTAAAAAATTGGGTGCTAAAATTAAAATTTTTTCCCAAAATTGTAAAATTCCCCGGAAGTTTTTTTTTTAAAAATATTACCCTATTTAACATTTCATGTAAAAAAAGGGAGGTAATTTAAAATTTTTTTCTTTAAAAATAAGTCAAAAATTTTCCCAAAAAGAAATGAAAGATATAATTTTTTTTGATTTAAAAATTTTAAAGTGCACTATTTGCGTAAATTTTACATTAATTTTTTTTATTTTGAAAATTTTTTATTTTCATAAATTTTATACAAAATAATTTTTTTTCAAAAGTTGGGAAAAAAGTCAATATCAAACCAAAAAATAAAGGAAACTTTTACACGGGTATGTTTCGAAAAAGGGGAAACTTTAAAATTCCGTATTAAAATTTTAAATCTTTTCCCCGTTTTGGAATTTGTCCCCGCTTCTGAGATATGATTTTATTATAAAATGATTGATGATAAAGATGTTATGATATTGATGGTTCGATGTAAGGGGTTTAAAGGGAAATTTAAAATTTTGAGATGGGTGACTTGGTAATGATGATGATTTATGACGTTTTAATTTTTGGATGCGATACTCAAAATGCGATAAAAGTTTTTGCGGTGCGAGTTAAATTTGATGATTTTTTTTTTTATTTTATTTTTTAGGGTTTAAACAAAACCCAAATTTGGGGAAGGGAAAAATACTCCCGACCTGGGCATAAAAATTTGGGGTTTTTTTTTTAAGGGCGTAAAAAATTTTAAACTTATTTTCAAAAAAATAACCCCATTTTTTGTATAACGTAAAAGAAAATTACCCTCATTTTTCGGAATATCAATTAATGGGTTTTTTCCCCATTTAATTTTAAAATTTTCTTGAAAAATTTACCAAATTTAATTAATCCTCGAAAACAAATGTGACCGGGGTTTTTTTAAAGGAAAAACCGGGGAAATTTGGGAACCAAACGGACCCGGGCTCGTCCCCGCTTTGAGCAAAAAGGCGTTCGGCCCTTTTTGTGAAATATATAATTTTTTTAATGTAAAAAAGGGTTGGGTGGGGGAAATTTTTTTATTCTTGATGTAAAGGGGGGGGTTTTCCCAAAAAAATTTCGAAAATGTACCGGGGAAAGTTGTGCTTTGACCTTTAGATATTACTTTTTGATTTTTTTTATTAAAAAAGAAAAACCCCTTTTCATATTTTTTTTTTTATACACATCTTGACCTTGACTCGCGGCCCCAAAGAGACCTCCCCACAAATTGGGTTTTTTTTGGAAATTTTTAAAAAAAAAATTTTAAGCTGTTTAATATGTTTAAATTGGTTTAATTTTTTTATATTACGAAATTAAACTCTGTTTTAATTTTTCAGGAAAACAACATAAGGAAATTTAAACGTGATTTTTTTACCCAGCAAAATTTAACTACCCTAACACAATATGTTCGAAATCTGGGGCTCTGGTGGTGAAAATCAAATGCGGTTTTAAAAAAGGGAATGTAAACCCTTTAAAAATAAATTAGAATGTTGATTGAATTTTAAAGCTGAGCAAAAATGGGGGTTCCCTTTTTTAAAAAGCAAAAATTTTTAAATGTTTAAAATTTTAAACACCTTTTTAAACACTTTGGGAAAATTTTTGGGAAATAAATAAAAGAAAAAAGGGTTTATTGTTTTTCGGTTTTGATTTTACCAAAATTTGGGATTCAAAAGTTAAAGAATTTTACGCAAAAGAATCTGCATTGGGGATTTATAAAAAATTTCCTTGAATTAAAAAAGTTGACAAAGTTTTAAAAAATTAACCCAAATGAATATTTTTAAGGTGAGGGCTTCAAATTTTTTTTGAAAAAAAATTAGGGCTTCGTAAGAAATTAAAGTTATATCGGGTCATTTTTTTTGCTTTTCCCTCCCCAAATCATATGAAAATTAAATATTTTTTAACGAATTTTCACTCGTCCAATTTTAAACCTGTTCCCCTTTTTTAATGAAAAATTTTTTGGAAATTTTGCATCATGAAAAATGATGTTTTTTTATCCCTTTCGTGGAAAAACTATTACAAAAATATATCTTAATTTTTTTTTATTAAAATCGAAAAATGAAATATGGGGATGGGTGACGGTGGCCCCACAGAAAAAAACCCAAACGTAAAAAAAAAAAATTCTTTTAGAAAAAAAAATTTCCAAAAAAAACAATAAACCCCCCAGTTTAAATTTTTTTTAAAAATTTTTATTCTGAAACCATAAAACAAAAATAGTTCACATTTAAGGTTTGGGAAAATTTTTTTCAAAGGCCCTTAAATTTGACAAAATTCAAAGTCCCGGGTTTTTTAATTTTAAAAATAAACGTTTTTTTTAAATCGAGAAAATTTCCCGAGACGGGATTTTTTTTTTTTTTAGGGGGTTTAATTTTTCAAAGTCATGTCCATGGCATTTTTGGTCAGTTGGGAAAAGGGAATACTTCCCATCTATGCAACCCTGTGTCAATCTTTTTCCTTTTAAAAATTTGACGTGTACAAAAACGCAGCAAAGAAATTTTGATACTTTGCGTGCCACGAAAGGTTTTTCCCATTCCAGGTAAAAAATCGGATAGTTTTTTTGGAAAAAATTTTTTTTGAAAAGTATAGGGAAAAGGGGGCAAAAATTTTTGTTTGATTTTTCAAATATATTTTGATTTCTTACAAAAGAAAGGGGTTTTTCCAAAATTTTTTGAAAAATTTTTAAAAATATCTAAAATTTTGTACCAAATTTTATATTTTTAAAATGTTAAACCCTTTTTATTTAAGCTTTTTTACAAAAATAAAGGAAAAAAACAAAAAAAACCAAAAATTTCCTAAAACCATGGCAACTATCCAAAACGGGCGAGCTAACCCCGAGACGGATTAAAATTTTTTAAAGGGCCCCTTTTCAAAAATCTCCAATTGTTTCAAAGCAAAAGGGTGCGTTTTTTCCCCTAAATTCCAAAAACGACTTATTCTTGGGTTTTTTAAAGTCGGGTTTATGTTTTGGAAAGGCAAATTAAATTTTTTCTCCCCACCGGGCCCGGGTTTCACCCGCTTTTAAACTTCAAAGGAAAAAAAGCGCGAAGATCGGCTTCCCCATTCATGCTTTCCCTTAATTTTTGTTTTTTTGGGGTGTAGAAATCTGATTTCCCTTCATGCCTTTTTTTAAAAAATGCTAAGGGTATTTTTAAAGTTCCAAAATTTGGTTTTTTTTTTTTGTTAAAATTTGTAAAAAGTGTTTCTCGAAAAATCACAAACCTGAATATCGTTCATGCGCCCCCAAAATTTTTCAAGGGGCGTTTTTTTCATTTTTTTTTTTTATGAGATATTTTTTTTTTTCCGTAGGCTGTTTGTTTTTCGTTTTTCCCAAAAAATTTTTTTTAAGTATGAAAGGGACGAGGTGCCTTTTGCAAAGTGCAGAAACTCATCAGATAAAACCTTTTAATTTTAAACCTTTCTATCAAAAACAAAATTTTTACGTGTGCCTTAAATCAAACCAAAGTGTTAATATGAAAATGTCAAGTAACTTTGAAATAATTTTTTTTTAAAGGAAATTTTTTTAATGTTAAAAATGACCTAAAGTAAAGTGTGTGAAAAATTTTTCTATAGTATTGGCGTTAAAAAAGAAACCCATAAAAACTACGGAATTTTGGAAAACCCCCGTGTCTGCTTTTTTTAAAGCTTTTAAAAATTTTTTCGAAATTTTTTGAAAGAGCCCCTTTTTCTTATTGTCCAAATTTTAAATTTTTTAAAATTAAATTTTTCGGGGGTTGGGGAAAGGAAATTTTTTTCCACCTTTTTTTCCGGGAAATTTTAAAAGAAAAACCCCCTCCTTTTCCCCGTTTTTTACGGTAAAAAATATCCGGGTGTTTGGGGCATTTTTTGCCATGTTTTTTTTTTGAATTAACCCAAAGGAAGGTTTAAAAAATTTACTGGTCGACAAAGTCTAAATTAAATTTCATTTTTTTGGTTTTCTTCTTAAAAAACTTTGTATGAAAATTTTAATATTTTATTTCTTTATTTCAGTGTCGGAAAATTGTGGTGCATTAAAATGTTGTAAAGGGAAAGAACTTGTCAAAGGGGCTTCAAAGGGGACGGGTGCCCGTTTTTTTTGAAAACCAATTATTTAAATTTAAGGGTAGAAACAACTTATTAATCTATAGGTTTTTTAATTTAAAAAAATTTCTCCCCAAACGAATAATTTGTTTTCTTCTAAAAAACATAAACGCTATCGAAACTTTTACAAATTTAAAAAAAATATATTATTTTATAAACTTTTCCCCTTTTTTTTAAACATCCCAATCTTATAAATAATTTTTAGAAAGTCAAGTATTTCATTTGAAAGCTACCTCTGTCTTAACAACTTTTTGCTGGCACGTTCCTTTAATCATTGTTAGTTATACCATCGTATCTTTTTTCCAGGCGGTCTCAGGTGACGTCACAAAAGCCTCGGTTTCACCTAGATATTGTCAAAAGGATCAAACACCTACACAGTTCCCAAAGACATCATCCGGACTAACCATAGGAGCTTTGCTCTCATTTGCCCCTGCTTCTTGTATGATTTTTAAATTTATAATCTATAGCTTTATTGCTTTCACAAATGATGTGTTAGCTATTTTTTTGGGCATGTGTTCGTTTGCCAAAAGTGTTCGTCTGCTAACTTTGTTCGTCTGCCTACATTGTAAGTCGACCAACATTGTTCGTTTGCCAACATTGTTCGTCTGCCAATATTATCGTCTGCCAATATTGTTCGTCTGCCAGCATGGAAATGCGCAGACACAACAGTTAAATATGGAAAAGATATATTTAAGGTTTCTTGTTTTGTCTTTTATTTCATCAGGTTTCTGGGCAAAACAAAATTACATAATAAGAGGTGACTGTCACTTTCTTGATCTGTGTAATTTTAACGACACAAAACAATGCGCATGAATCTACATCCGTATATTATGTTAAAGCCTAAACTATTTTTGCCACAATGATCAACAAGGTTGTTACAAAATTGTGTTTAAAGATATACTATGCTCAAATTTGATTTTTAAAAATATTAATAATTGCTACACAGTCTCTTTGTGCGTATTTAAAGTAGATATGATAAGTTTTAAACTCTACACACTATATGTGGTCACAATATTAATATATAGTGTCATTAAAAAAACTGGCAGTTTTTTTTTTAAGAAAAGACCAACGTAACTTGATCCGTAATAGGGAATGCAGCTTCCCACACACAGTTTATTCATTATTTTATTCAAATTAAACATATTCAGTAAGAATTTCATGTACTTTAATACATTTCTAAGATAAAAATATTTTACCAAACAATGAGCATAGTATATCTTTAAGGAATAATTTGTACAATATAACGCAAACATAATAGTTTTAGTCACGTGATATTTTAAATCGTAGTTTTTTTCAATTTCATTCATTTTCTAGTAAAAAAAGTAAATGTATTTCCAATCATCATATGGCTGTATATATGGAAGACATTCATTTCTAAAAAGTGTTTTATTTTGTATTTTGCAGTAACCTGTCGTAAGTTTGACTGTTTCTGTTAGATTTTGTTCAAATTTTTTGTACTAAGCATAAGGCCCATTGGTCATTAACAAATTGAATATGTATATGAGTTTGTGTCATCTATAAGTAAAAAAGTGTATATTTTTCAAATTTTTTGTTTGGGGCCCCGGGAATTTTATTTTTAAAAACGCTCCCAAAAGTTATTTTTGTTTTTTTTTAACCCAACAGCAAAGTTTTTCATGGTTTGGCCCGGCCCAAGGGAAAGTGATATTTCAAACCGGGGCTTAATCGGCCGTGTTACTTGGGGGCAAAAACAACCCATTTGGGGAAACCCACCCCGGCTGTCAGACGGGAAATTTAAAGTGGCAGGTCTGCCCCCTTTGTGTAGTGGTAGTGATTTGAAATTTTTCTAAATAAAATTTTAAAATTTGAATCCCCAAAAATCCCGTTTGCTTTTTCATCGCGAGAAAAAACGTGCTTTTTTTTCTATATGTCCTTACTTCAAAAGTTCTTTTGGGAAAAATTAAAAATTTTAAAAAAAAATAATTTTTCCCGGGCCAAAAATGGGGTTTAAAAAGAACCAAAAAAATTTTGAAAAGTTTAAATGATATTTCCTTTTTTTTTTATTTTATTTCAATTTTTTTTTTTGGATTTAACATTCCGCCAACCCCAAGAAGGGGGTCGAAGGGGAATTTAAAATTTAAAATGTGTTCCGTGGCCCTTCTTTTCCCAAAGAAAAAGGGGCCCGAGTAGAAAACCCCACGTTCAAAAAGCTAGTGGTTGCTTCCTACATTTAAAAAAACCCCGGGCGAGTGCGAAACCCCGGGGGGAAGGGGGTGGTTTGAAATCAACGCTTAAACACTCGGCCCTAAAAGCCCCGTTCGTATCTGTTTGTTAAAATTTTTTGATAGTTGATTGGGAAAATTTTCGCGTCCCGGTGTAATTTTGGACATTTTAAAAGGCCATTGCTTAAAATTTTTGTTGTTCCAAAAAATTTATGTTTAAAATTAAATTTTTGAGACTCCGCCAAATTTCCCAAATGGGCAAATGTCCTGAATTGGTGGTTCTTTTGTTCTTTAATTTTTTGAAAGGGTTTCATTTTCGGGGTACCTTCAGGAAACTGCCATTAGCTTCAGTCTTTGGGGGGGGATGGGCCCTCTGCAGTGTAAAATATATTGGGATTTTTCAAAAATCTATTATAAATTTAAATTTTTTTGCCTTAAAAATCAGTCTTACGGGAAATTTTTGAATCTAAATTTGGGTGCAGGAAAAAAAATCCTGACAATTTAAAAAAGCCTCCAAAGAAAACAGTGGTATATTTTACCTCGTTTAAAATTTTTTTTTAAAATTAAAAAAAGCCTTTTTTAAAATTGCTCTCGCACTTTCCAAATCCCATTTTTCGTCTGCAGAAAAATTTTTATTTTCCCAAATTTTTGTTTAAATTTTTCAGGGGAATAACTTATAAATTTAAAATTTAAATTTAAAAACTATTCTCGTTAATTTCTTTCAAAATTACTAAAAGGTTGTGAAATAAATACCCCAATTTAAATAAACCCGGGAAAAGTTGGGCCCCCCTCATAAACACAGGGAAACTTTTCAATTAATGAAATTTAAAACCCGGGTTTAAAAAAACTCTAAAGCAATGTTAAATACAAACACGGATGTTGTCTGACCGGTTAATGTAGGTAAGTCTGCACATTTAGCTGCAAAAAATAGTTGAAACTTATAACACCATTTTTCTTAGATGCACATGTATTATGTATATAGACCCTGAGGAAGAATTTATATCCGTGCTGCATGTACTTTAAAACCAAAAAACAAAATATTATTATTTTACAGTATCATGTGCAACATTGACCAATCCATCTAGTGGCCAGGTAACACTGACTACAAATGGAGGAACAACTACGGCTATCTATACGTGTGCAAGTGGATACACGTTGCAAGGGGACACAACCAGAACTTGTCAGTTAGACGGTACCTGGGATAACTCTGTGCCAACCTGTTGTAAGGAATTTTCTTTGCACTTTGTGTTTCTTATGAATTTCATGAAACATATATTTCTATGAGACAAACAACTTTAGTTAATTGTTGCAATGTGCAGATTTTGTACAATGTCGTTTAATATTTGTGTTTGTCTAATGTTCATGCAAGCTTAGTTTTTAATTTGTTATAACTGATTCCTCTATAATTACAAAGCACCGTATGTATATCATCAACAATGGTTATTCAATAATTATGATAACTTATTTCAAAATCTGTGATTTTTACGGGATGGTAAATTATAGACCTTGTGCTGTAATGTTTCAATGCTACGTTCAAAAGTTATTCACTAAGTTACACGTCACAATGTTTGTTTTGTCATCTAGCTTGTAATCAACCAAATAGCCCCGCTAACGGTGCAGTGGTAGCAAACGGTGTCAACGCTACATATACGTGTAAAGTTGGTTTCACTTTAAACGGTAACGACGAAAGGACGTGTCAAACTGACGGTTCTGGCTGGAGTAACCAAGATCCTGGGTGTTGTAAGTTAATATAATGATTTGTACGATTTTTGTTAGTTTTAAGAGCATTAACATTTTGATATAAGGTTAAAAAACGTTTTCTTATAAGGTTTCTTATACAGTATGCACAACATGACATTAATTGTGACGTCACTTAGAGCGTAAATTGTCACAGTGCCCCATCCAAACGCTACCACGCATACCTTCATGCTATTCGAGCATAATCAAATTCAGGCAAAAAAAAAAGTTTTTTTTTTTGCGTTCAAAGTTGCTGATATAGTTAAACGCATGTTATTAGCGGGTATGCAACTGATATATCCATGCTCGCAAGTAAAAGGAAACGCTTTTTTATGTCATTTGGTATCTCGGTTACAAGTGTTTAGTGCATTAACTATATAAATATTTCACCTGCTTTGCTTGTGCATAAGTCACTTACACCAACTATCTTTTATTGCTTAGAACTCTATTTTGCTCATGAAAACATTTGATATTTCAGCTTTGTGTACTCCTCTGTCATCTGTTACTGACGGGTCATATAGTACGTCAACAACTGGTACGGTTTCTTCCGCTAAATATTCATGTCAGATAGGTTACAGTTTAGATGGTGTTATCACCATAACTTGCCAATCAGACGGCTCATGGACCAAGTCACCACCCACGTGCAGTAAGTGCAGATATTTATTTACATTTGGTTATATATCTATAAGTCATGACTCTTATTGCTCCATATAGTTATCAAACAGATTTATATCGCAGATTTGTTGCTAAGCACATTTAATCCATAAAAATGGAAGTTTTCGGTATCTTGTAAGATGAAATTTAAGTATGATACTCAAAATACTATTTTAACAATAAACTTCATTTTAATTCACTTCAATTCCAACAAAGTTGGTACCCTTGTTTTAAAAGAAATTATTTAATTTTTTTCGCACATGTCGCTAATTAAAGAATAAATAAAACTGAGTGTTGTGTTAATAATGCACTTTTCAGTCCTTTGTCCAACACTGACCAATCCATTAAGCGGAACAGTAACATTATCTTCATCCGGTACGAAAACATCTGCAACATACACATGCGCATCAGGGTACAATTTAAACGGAAATACTGTCCGATTATGTAATTCGGATGGAACTTGGATTTTGAAGGAACCAACTTGTTGTATGTAAAAATTATTGATTATGTATGTAAAAATATAAAAATAATAAAAGTACGTACTCTATATTTTCTCTGCAAAATGTTCAATCTTTGAAAGTCATTTAATGAAATCTATTTATAGCAAAAACAAAAATAGCATGCCGTCATATTTTATTTTATATAAATCTCTCCATGACAAAAACCGTTTTTTTTTAACAAAGTGAAAATATTATCAAATTTTGATGAGGTAGTCCTATATAAGAAAGTATATGTCTAATAATTTAAAACTGAAGTTCATCCAAAATCTCTCTGATTTTACTTTCAGCATGTCAATCACCAGTTTCTCCATTAAATGGACTGGTAACGATTGATGGGTCAAAGGCCGTATACACTTGTAACCAGGGATTCTCGTTGTCAGGAATATCTACACCGATTTGTAATACAAATGGTACCGGTTGGGGTGGAGCAGATCCTACTTGTAGTAATTATAATTTCTGATTAATTGTCGCTGTTCCTGGACGGTGAAATTTACATTTAATAAGATTTGACCATTTCTAACTGTACACCGCCTGCCTTAAACCAATCCGATTATGGAATTCCCTATCACGTGATAACAAAATGGACGACAAAAGACCTCAAAAAGGGCACCTATGGGGCAAGTTATCCGCCATGTGTTTTGTCGGGTTACCTAAATATAGAACTATAATGTCTCCAGTTACGAATCTAGAAACCAGTGTGTAGCTAGGCTATTGCTTGGTGAACAATAATCAAAATATTTCTCTTAAATCAAGAAACTACTGCTTTGTTGTTCAAGAATGAGAATTTTTTACGAATACAAAATAATTATTTAATTGCATCATGTTTATTTAAACAACATACGATAAGTATACAATATATTTAGCAAATTGGTATCTGCCATTAAAAATAAGAAAGATACATACATGTTATACGTTGCTAAACAGATTTCCAAAGCGTGAAATTACAAGCTGTATTTTCGATCTGTCTTAGATGTCTGTGCGACTCTGTCCTTACCTATGGGCGGCACTGTAGCAATGACTTCGAATGGTATAAACACGCAAGCAGCATACACGTGTTTCAGCGGGTACACGTTATATGGTATGTCGCTTATCACGTGCAGAAGCGATGGATCATGGGACTTTACTGCACCAACGTGCTGTAAGTAAATCGACGTTTAACTCTCCCTTGGTCGTGATACTGAACTTAATGTTATTTGCTTATACTTATGGCTCAGAAATGTCTATTTTGTCGAACTGAAAAATAATTCAATATACAATAAAACAAAACAAAATATTTAAGATAAAATACGCGTGTTACAAACTAACTGCATTATTTATTAGCTGAAAATATTGTTACTCGCAAAAATTGTTTTGGTTGTGTTTAATATGTTAGTAATATCATATATGTTTTTTGTTGTTTTTTAACTTGTAAAATTGTTGTGAAAACAGATAAAATACTTAAAAGAAATAATAGGATACAAACATTAGAAAGATTTGCATAAGATAATTTCATCGTACCTTGTAAAATATTTCTTTACAGTAACATGTCCGAATTTGTCTGATCCGGATAGTGGTACACTTACAGTGACAACAACCGGTTCCGTTACAACAGCAACATTTAGCTGTCAAACAGGATATTATCTTAGTGGAGAATCTACTCTGACGTGTGGTTCTGACGTTGCGTGGAGCAGTGATGTTCCGACTTGTAGTGAGTATTCTTATTAATTCCATATCTACAAAATAGTTCCGACGAAATTCCTTATGTCGCAAGGTTACTAGAAATTTATGTGTCAGTTAATGCACTTTCTGAAATGTTCGTGACATTCAAGTTTAACCCATGCGTGTGATCCCTATTAAAAGGTGCTAGTTTTAGATAATATCAGATTAAATTATTATCCGGACAACTTATGTTGAACTTGTCTTTAATTGAACTTGAGCGCTTTATGATTTACATTATATTAGAATAAACCAATCTGTATACTTTTGACAGAGTGTAATTTTCCTGCTCAACCAAGTAACGGAGATGTGTCAGTATCCGGGACTGGTTCGGTGGCAACATACTCGTGTGATACCGGATACTCCCTTAATGGACTGTCTGCAAGAACCTGTCAGACAGACGGTAGTGGCTGGGAAAACACGGACCCGACATGTAGTAAGTTATATTAGAAGTATCTAGTATTGCCACTAAACCTAATGATATTACAAGGTTCTTTCAAACATTTTGACATATTCTCTTTCTAATTTCTATGCATATCTCCTTTTAATAAAATGGATATTATGTCTGTTTCAGTGTCTTGTCTCTAACGTTTCCTTTGATAGGTTTTTATTCTCAATGCGCTAACAAAGAATACAGATTTGTCTATTTCCATTGCTCTCACGATAACCTGACATCCCTTCCAAAAATCAATATACATATTCATAAAATAGTTCTAAATTAAAAAATACAAAATTTTATTTCCGTAAGTATTTGAATAAATTGTACAAGAAATAAACTACATTATGGTCTGCATATTTTTTTTATATTTCTTTTAAAAAGCAATGTACTGTTTAAAAATGTTCGATAACATTTTAAACTTCTGGTTCTAGACTAATATAAATTATTCTGGCTTCTTTAAGATGAATGTCAAACAGTAACAAATCCGGCGTCTGGACTGTTCAGTTTAAGTTCAAATGGAACGCATACGTCAGTGAGGTATACATGTAACGTCGGCACAACGTTAAACGGTGTTAATGTACAAGTTTGTATGAATGATGGTTTGTGGGAGGCTGCCCCGCCAATTTGTGGTAAGTTGCATCTGGATATTGTTTCCATGTTGTTCAACTGCACGTGCTTTTTACATTCATATTTTAAATATTATGTCATTTTGTGATCGTGTTGTTGCTTTTGAAGTGTTTGGATATATTTCATTCCTGTAGATAACAACAGCCGTTTCATATCACTTTTACAATGTTTTGCATATGCGGACATGAAATCAAGTAATTTGCATTAACCTGTGTTTTCTCTATACGTTCATATACACAGATTATATTCATCTATCTGAAATAAAGATTCAATGGCATTTGACATATTGTCGTTAACCAAAACTCGGGAGCAAAACCATTCGGAACTGCCTCAGCTATTATCTATATTATAGCATAAAATCGGCTATTTTCCCCTCTTTTGCCCATGTTATAACGGGACCAAAACCATGTGTTAACATAGTCACGCGCTCTTGTTATAGCCCGGTTTCACCTATGCGCAATACATACAGGGCCCAGTAAACAAACAAACAAAAAATGACGATTTGGCCTGTTAGCCAAAGAGTCATGCACTCTTGTTATATTGAAATTTATTGATTCGAGGGCCTCAGTCGCATATTCAAGTAACTATGCCGGAAATACGGCGTATAGACATCGGTGCTAATCTTGGTTGTCGCCCTTTCTAAGAAACGGACAGTTGTCAATGTAAACAAATACAGTAGAATCTACTTGTCATTCAGTTTAACACTCCGATTAATTTACAAAACTAGATAACACAAAATTAATATAAGAAAATGTTTTTATTTATGTTAATGTTGATGAATGCTCTTTATATTTATCTGAGGGAATAATGCTTAGTGCCTGATTTTATTATAAACTTGTTTACTTGAAAAAAAGACCGATTCTGATGTCACTGATCTGTTTTTCTACCGTCAATCTGAAATCATTCTAAGAATTTCTGAGGGTCATGTTTTGTCTTGGGTAGAGGGTAGAGTAATATAACGTAGTTTTTTTTTCTTGAGATAATAAATCTCCAAAGGCCAAGCTTTGTTAATTCAATTAAAATTCAAAATTTCGTTCGGTTCCGAGAATTTTCCAAGTTGTTGGCCCCGGAAAAATAAAACGCATACGTAAAACATTTAGAATTTGATAAATACCGTCCAAGCACAAGAATTTAATGTAATTGTGTTTTGTATAAACTATACATCACGAATTTGTTTGAAAATGTTATGCTATAATAGCGCCAACGCACGTTTATTTCGTGTTATAAAGTCTGCAGAGTCCCTCAGAACTGTTGGAGCCCTCGCCCTACCGGGCTCGGGCGCCAACCGTTCTTCGGGACTCTGCAGACGTTATAACACGGAATAACGTGCGTTAACCCTATAATAACCCACGCAACAATACGGATTGAAAGTAGCTCTATCACATGGTTTCAGATATAAACAGAAACAGAGATAATGTTTGTTTGTTTGTTTGTTTGATTGGGTTTTACGTCACACTGACACAGTAAAGGTCATTTGGCGACGTTTCAGCTTTACTGATGGAGGAAGACCTCATGTGCCCTTCCGTGCATTATTTCAGGCACAAACGAACCACCGACGTTCCGTAAGCTAGCTAGATAGCTTCCTCAAATAAAAGAATCCAAAGTCCCTGTCGGGATTCGAACCCACAGTGGTGAGGGGCAAGTGGTTTGAAGTCAACAGAGATAATGTAAAACGAATGTATAAATTTGACATCCAAAAGAAAAGTAATGTCTGTTACGGTACACTTATGATTAAAAATATGTCTGACAATAATTTATAATTGAAATATACCAACTGATGTACAATTTTAAACGAATCCGATAAATGTAAAAAGATTTTTTTTTTTTACTTTCGGTTTCTTCAACCATACTAATAAATATAATAAATATAATAATAATGTATTGTTTTCTATTGTAGCTATGAATTTACTTATTTTTGGTGGACTTTTACAACAAAAATTTGTAATACATTTGTCAACAACCTCCACCATTAATTACTATTTTGTTTACATAATAAGTCTCTTAGCGTAGTTTAGACCAAAATACCGCATCCGTTCTGTGTATACATACTATTGTGTCCGAGGTCCTTATCCGAAGACTGACGGAAAGGGCCGAGTTATGAATGTGGTATAACGTTTACAGCGCCATGGCTTTTAGCCTGTAAAGTTATGCATTAAATGCTTGGCACCTTACAATGTGTTTATTTTCCACCAATCAAGTGCATCATTTAGTAATAGCGTTGTTTGGTGCAATGTTGTGACCAGGGATTCTCGTTGTCAGGAATATCTACCGATGTTAGTCTCTGTCAATATGTTACAAGTGATTTTGTTATGCCAATATGGGATAATGTCCCAACCCATATTGATCATTTGAACGGAAAAATATATGGGGTCACCGTTATTGTTTGGGCCAACAATAATTTAATATGTTAAACGGTCATTTCATCTATCTACATTAATGTTCGATTTATAGGAAGTTGTGCAAAGAAAACACACCTTAATACGTGCAACATTTTCATGTGTACAAGGGTATGATCTTTTGTCTGTCGGGGTCACCACGTGTTTGACTGATGGAAGCTGGAACCTCCAATATCCCTTGTGTGGAAAGTAGTTGTTTTCGACTTTTATTTTAGTTTTCTTTGAGACAAATACGTGTACATCAATATGGGTCGATTTGTTGGGGTTGTTTTTTCTTCTTATTATTTCACGCTATGTATTTCTCAAAAAAGGATCAACAATGTCATATTATAATCACATATCTATCTCATCGATTGCTGTTTATGTTGTATTCCCTATCAATTGAATGTATTGCAGAATACATTGAATGTTTTGATGCAAATTTGGTACATTTTATGTATTGCAACATAGATTTAAGGTTTTGTTGAATAAATTAAATGTATTGCATCATAAGTTAAATATATTTTAGCATGCAACTTAGAATGAATGTATTGCAACATAGATAAAATGTTCCGCAATATGCAACATTGATGGAATGCGTTGCATCATAGTGTAAATTTTTACAGCATAGATTAAATATATTGTAGCATAGATTGAAAGTATGGCAACATAAATTAAATGTTTTGCAGCATCAATTATATATTTGGCAGCATATACTAGATGTATTACAGCATATGTTTAATACATTGTACCATAGATTGAAGAATTGCAACTTAAGACTGAATATATTGCAATAAAGATTGATCGTTTTGCAGTATAAACTGAATGTGTTACAACATAATTTGAATGTTTATCAGCATAGATTAAATATATCGTATAATATATTGAATGTATTGCAACATATATCGAATAATTGCAGTGTATATTAATTTTGTTGTAGTATATAATGAATTATTGCATTAAAGATTAGATGTATTGAGGTATCTGCAATTATTTTTGGCAAAGATAAGAACATACGAGATGTATTCCTCTTTATTTTATTCATGTCTGTTGCATTCTATTTCAGTTTGTCAGCCGCCAAATGCTATCATTAACGGTAATTTCGACCTGCTTGACAACGGGATGCTAGCAAATTATTCGTGCGATCCTTCCTACAAGCTTGTAGGACCACAACAACGGCTTTGTCTAAATGACGGCACGGGTTGGAATGGAACAGAGCCTCGATGTGGTATATATATATAAAATACTTATGGTTAATTTCTTGTTTGTTTTAAGTGCCAGTTCTAACCTTCAGTAAGTGATTTATCGTAGAGCAGTTTCATGACTTGCTTAAGTACACATAATAAAGGTTCGTATGCAGTTGTTGTTTGGGGTCATATTCTGTTTGGTTTGTCACACGATTTTAGCCATATCGGTGGAAAGTTACCTTACAGAAGTTCTGGACCAGTATAAAGCAGTCTTCTAACAAGCTACTGTCAGTTTTTCCACATAAATTATTACAATCCATTGTGTAGTGCAAGGGGTTTTAAACATTTTGTTGTATCATTTTGCAAGTCAAACAATACGGAAAAAGCATAAGCCTTGCAAAAGGAAACTTTTATTTGAATTAACAACATGTCCTTGCTTTAAATGTACATGGATGTTGTTTAGTAAATATTAATAAGCTAAACTGTTTATTTCTGATAAGTTCCATATTTTTAAACCATACTTTACACTGTTTTACAGAATAAAGTATTTTTAGATCTGAGGTTTGCATACCTGCCAATAATACAATGAATTATATTGATCTTATGTGTTTATTTCCATATTTAACCCTCAATCTGCCGACACCAAATGTACCTAATCCTTTCCGTCAAGCACAAATTCAGGTCGGCCTACACGACCGTTCAGTGTAACTAGTTCTATTCTGTCGTTTGTCCAGTCTCAAACTTCCGTTTAGATATATTCTAAATAAATAATGGATAGTTCCAAATATGGAAGATTGATAAGTCCATTTAAGAAAAATATAGCAAGTTAAGGATTAATGGCGCTCTTATGTGTAATTGACTTCTAATTACCAAACTGTTATTATATATTTTACCATACTTTTGTCATTGACTTTATGCCCATTTTCTTATCATCATAGCTTGATATAAAAATTCACTTATTACAGATTTGATTATCATAACTACACCAAGAGCGGGTAAATCTCAAGAAGAAACAGTTCTGCCAATACCAACAGCAGCGTTTGTCGTTATTTGTGTCATTGTGTTTATCATTTTGGTAGTTTCTATTGTCGGGTCCATCTGCTGGTACCTGAGATACAAGAAAGTCAGTCAGCGCGTTGGGACTGTGTTTGATTCTAGTGACAATAGAACGACAAGCACTCGTAAGTATTATTGATTGATTTGCTATGTTGTTTTGGCGGAATATGTTCAATATCTGAACCGAATGAATCGTCTGGTAATGAATTTCAATTTTGAATGTTTTATTTAAAAACATTCTTAATTCCTTTTTATTCTTAACCCCTCTGTGTCCAATATTTTATTCCTGAAGAAAAAGCGAACAATTTTGTATTGTAGTAACATAACTTCTGTATGAAATTGCTTCCTTTTCATGAGACATCTAAGATATTAAACTCATAAATAAATAAGTATTGATTCTGCTTTATTTACTTTATTATGTATTATTTTAGTTGATGAGGCTCGTTTTAATTATGAGTCTACGGATATAGAAGATGGAAATCTACTTATTGCAATATCATTAGAACAAACCAAGCCGTTTTGTAATGCGAAGTCACTGACGAGAAAAAAATCACGATTATCACTGGAAACTAACAAAACAGAAGAAGAAATTAGGTCTAAGCAGACTAGTTCACAAACAAAAATAGATTTAAACCAAAATGGCGGCATATTGACCGCCGAAAACGGTGCAGTTACCGAAACCGCCATGTAAAAGGAACGCGACAAAAGTGAAACGTAGACGTCGTCGTGTAGAACGCCGCGAGGAGGGGGCAGACGAAAAAGATCTTCAGCCGAGAACATCTACGCCAAAATAAGTGTAATTATCAGAACAAGGACTCCGGATATGCTTGCATCGGAGGAGTTTGCGTATATTTAACCAGTGTACTGCCATGAGGCGGATACTCTGGCGCCAAGTCGCCCGACGACGTCGACATCAAAATACACTAGTAAAACTGTTTACGCGAAGAGCAATATATTAATAAACATAAATCTGGTACATTTGTGGTATCAAAATATAACGTGAACGAATATTTGAATACAATGTTTACGATATACCTCAAACATGACATGAACACTAACCGTGAATGACGTAAAGCTTACCTTAAATGCAATGTGTAATGGTGATGTGTGTTTTTTTTTTATTTATTTGTTTTATTTCATGTTTACACATGATTGTGTACTTCCATGATTTTTTATTCATTTATTTGTTATTCTATGAATATACATGTTGGTAATATATTTCCTTTATATATAGTGAAAAATTCAAACAAACACATTATGTTGAAATATGCTATTATATATTTTTGACCCGTGTAGATTTTGAGATTAGTTGGTCAAAATCACGTGGCCCAAAATTTTTAGACCATTTTAGATGATAGCTTCTGTATGTTTTGTCCTGGTAGGGAAGTTGATCATCATTCACAGATGAATTGATACTAAAATCAGTAGGTCAAATGTCACTAACATCATGTATTAAGGGGGTATTTAGTGTGTTCTACGTACTTTTGTTCAAAATATACACACAGTGCAATTTTTGTGACATCGTGTACATAAAATTTTCATGTTTGATCGCCACAACACGTAACTATGCAAGATCAAAGGAAATTAGAATTCCTTTTTACCTGCATTTCATCACTGGAAACTAACAAAACAGAAGAAGGAATTAGGTCTAAGCAGACTAGTTCACAAACAAAAATAGATTTAAACCAAAATCGCGGCATATTGACCGCCGAAAACGGTGCAGTTACCGAAATTACCGCCGAAACCGCCACGTGAAAGGAACTCGACAAAGGTGAAACGTAGACGTCGTCGTGTAGAACGCCTTGAGGAGGCGGGAAACGAAAAAGACCTAAAGCCGAGAACATCTACGCCAAAATAAATGTAATCATCAGAACCAAGACTCCGGATATGCTTGCATCGGAGGAGTTTGCGTATATTTAGCCAGTGTCCTGCCATGAGGCGGATACTCGTGCGCCAAGTCGCCCGTTGACGTCTACATCAAGATACACTAGTAAACCTGTATCGGCGGATGCCAATATATAAATATACATAAAATTTTTAAGTTTGATCGCCACAACACGTAACTATGCAAGATCAAAGGAAATTAGAATTCCCTTTTTACCTGCATTAGATATGGTCCTACCTTACTTTGTATACTGTATACATATTTCACAAATTGTGTAACATCAATAACTGACTAAAACAAAAATTCAACTGCCGCGTATAAATATTTAACTTGTATCTTACCTGATGGAGTAAGTGTTCCGGTGTACCTTTGTTATAACTTATTACACGGGCGTGCATCTGAGTAGTAGCGCCACTTTTCTCGCAGTTCTTTATAGTTATCTTGCACGAAACATTTTATTTCCGGTTCTCGTATTTCATAGTGTGCATAAAGCATTAATTCGTATTTAAGTGACTTAAGTATTTTTCAACGAGGTTAATTTTTCTGACATTTGTAGATATGACAAACATGACAGTCCCATTGACTTGCATGTCATTGAAAGTTTTTAAATCCATTATTAATATATTGGAAGTTATCATATTTATAAGATGAAATTTTTATGTTTAGAAAATGTAATCGTGCGTTAAATATTAATTCATATATAATCAGTAATTATGTAATTTTGAATGCACTATATCGGCTATATCGAACGAAAAATACTGTTAATCGTTATATATCAAATTGATTACGTACAAGTATAAGTACAAGATTTATGTGAAATATGAATTTATTTCACACAACATGAATCTAAGAAATGACCTGCTTTGAGCAATGTATTGAGCATCGTCTTCATTTTTCCATTCCGGAAAGAAATTCAATATCAAATCACAATATATTTGTACTCACATTTCCGCGAAGTTTTTTACAGCAAATTAACGATACATGATCTACGTTTTGTTTTAGAAAACGAAGAAATATGTCCAAATATATTTCACTGTTACAAAAGTAAATATCAATAAAGAAATCTAAACCAAAGATTCATATTGTAATTTCCTTGATTTAAACACATCATATGACAGTTTCAAAACTATGAAATATACAGATAATTTTGGAACACAATCAATGGTTTCTTTCATGCAAAAAGATTTCATATAGAAATCTATACACTATTAAATATGCAGTTAATTTTGGAACATAATCCATGGTTTCTTTCTAAAACAAAGAAATAGATGTTCACACAATATCCATTCTTACAGAAGTGTTAATTTAGAAATCTATACACACTATTCATATTGCAATCTATATACTTGGCTGAAATAAACACCTAATGACAATTTCAATCTCAATGAAGATACAGATACGTATTCACATCGTCAATACTTTAAGCAAATGTGCAATACCATTTTTGTTATAGGTCATACCTAATTGAACAGCACTCTGTTTTGAAATAACGCAAAACTGACGTAAACCAAGCCTGCAACATTTACAATATTGCCGCGTCGGACATTTTTAATTAGGTATTCCTTTTTTATATCAGTCTTTGTATTACTAAGATGATTCAAATATCTAAATGAGTTTTACCTTGATTGCTGAATAACATTTTGAAGATTGATTCTTTTTAATAATATCAATATCCAGATATTATATTTAACAAAAATTCAAACTGGTGCATGTCTTGATTTGCATATTACGTTGTATACATTTTCCTAAACTGCACTTTAAGAAAAGGACATATTGCATGTGAATAACATATCTATCCATTATGTCATGATTTTGTTAAAATGTGTAATTGATCAACATTATCTGAAAAACAACAAAAAACAACAGCAACAACACAAATACACATAAACAACAACAACAACAGCAGCAAACATACTACCACTTGTTCCAATGTGTTTTTTAAATCTTAAAACATATACAAATGTACTAAAAATCAAAGTATACTCTCGCCCGATATCAATTTCTAATGAATGTACCCAAAAATATTTTTTAAAGGGCGTTCCTTATATTTTTGTACCATTTTATGTAAGTCTGGACTAATTCCTTGTGCAAGTTTTCATATCAGTTTTTTTTTTCAGAACCGTGATCAAAAGGTTAAAAAATGGAGGTGTTTGCATTAATTAGATAAACTGTTAATCTTTTTAAACATGAATCCTATTAAATGCAAGTTCAGGAAATACTTTCAGAGGGAATAATGTTAATCCTATTTAGTTGTTATGTTCCTTCATTGGTGGTATATGAATGTTAATATAAATAACATCACTTTAAGCAATAAATATCTCGTTGTTTAATGGCTCAGCAGACATATTTCTAATTACATCAATTCATTTTGAAGTAGTTATGAAGTTATAACATCATTTGCCGCAGTCGCAAGACAGCCTTGGTGCAGTGTTCGCTCCCTGATGTTAGGAATAATAAAATGTAGATTGTCAATTAAAGTAATATATACAGAAACCGTAAATATTTCTATTAAATTAATTTGTAAATGTTCAACTTATTTCATTGATTGGAGAAAAAAAAGAAGTTTTCATTTTTTTTTCATAGGCAAACTACATTATAACTCATGTCTTGGTTTTGAAAAAAAGGTTTAACGTATCAATGCGCTTAATTACTGTAACAGTCTTAAAGATTTAATGCCTCAGATTTCAATATATTTGAATATGAATTTGTTATTGTTTACAATGGTATGGTAACTTCTGACAGATAAAGATAACAACGAGCCATCATTAACGTAAAATCAGAAATTACCATTTAGTTCGTTAATTTAAGATTTTCGCTAAAAAGTGTGCTAAATCTCATAGTATCATATAAATGCCACTGAGCAGACTGTAGGAACTCTCAAATATCTAACTTCTTCAATAAGTCTAAAATGCTGCTTGCGAAACGAACAAATAATATGTTATAGTATTGAAACAAATCAGTGCGAAGGACTTTTGTCATGTTGCTCAAACTAAAATCGTGTCTTGTCATTTTTGCAACAATCAGTATTACATTCAGAAAGCTTCTAATAAAAGATGCCATTCAAAACATCTATTTCTATAATTTGTTATCAAACCTACGCAAAATTGATGTAATTTATCATTCGTCTGATACATTATTAACCGTCTGATGCACAAGAGAAAAAAAAGAAGTATATTATAATGCTATCATTCGAAATAATCGCTTGATTGAGAAAAAAAGATATTTGATTTTGGTGTGACGAAATGAATGTCTTCACTAATGTATGTAAATAATAATACATGCATAAAGTTATGAAACGGTATGTTTATCACCATATAAATTACAACACGTACTGCTATTGTAAATATATTTTGCATAGCTACACATACTGATGATGTTATTTTTTCTCTCGGAGTCAAGTACGCTACACTGCATTTAGACATTGTTGATTTATCAGTTCTGAGTTGAGTGTACCGATAGTTTGAATGGCATAACTCTTTTCTAGCAAATTATACGTTGACATTGATTGCATGAGCAAAGATATTTACAAATTTTATGCTTTGCGAAATGTGAAAATAATCCCACAAGTTTGTCTATTTGAACTTGGTAATTGAGTGTACATCTTCACCAGCTGTAAGAATCTACAACAGTCTATCCACGAATATTTGCAACTGCTTAAGCATGTTTCAAATATTTTTAGTTTCAAAATAGAAAAGAAAGAATTAAGTAACACCTGCAAATCCTTTGATATGGAAATTTATATGAAACATTCATTTTCACACTTGCTACCATTTCAAGTTATTCATTCATGACATTGCCATCTCTCC